CCGCCATCTTGGATTTCAAAATGGCGTCAGACATTGATTTCCGGTCTTTATACGTCATCCCGATTCCAGAAATACCCATATCGAAGGGTATTTGACAGGATTTCTCAGTTTATCTGCAACAGGATGCCGCCTTCTGGACTTCAAGAAGGTATCGGTTATCGATTTCCAGACTATAGGCGTCACGCGGACTCCAAAAATACCCATATCGAAGGGTATTTGTCAGACTTCAAAATGATTTCTAGTTCCTTCGCTACCAATATTGTCGATCAAAATATTTGGCAATTGAATTAATAACTGTCGCTTGGTACAAATATTTTACTCACCTTTTTGGGAGCACTGCTATTTAATTCTTGCCAATGTTCCGAACCAAGAACGGTATACCCGGTTTTGGTAACATATCATTGAACCCTGCACACGGTTTATATCTCGTGTACCAAAACCAAAATTCTAGCACACCGGTTTTCGGTTTTCGGTTTTCAAGCTGCGGTTCTGAACATCAACTCGAAAACCGGCACACGGTTTTGATTTAGAACACACTGGTACACTAAAACTCAACCGAACCAGGGTACACGCTTACATAAACACAGGAGTATTTTTTGAACACGAACCAGCGGTTGGTTCAGTTGCCCATCACTGCTTGGCTTATGTCACAGACTCGTTCCGAAAAGAGTCCACCGTAAAATTTCTCATCCTCCTTGGCAGACGAGTAAACTGCGTAGGTTGAAGTCGACCAAGAGAACCACATTAAGAAAATTCACTAAGTATCGTACGCTTTAGCTGAAACGTCACTACGTTAGGCTCAATTATGAGTTCAAGCGAGTTAGCTGTCGATGCTCTTCGCGATATCAATGAGGGACTCGGAGGAAACTCAAATCTGGAATTACATAAATGAGCAGCGCAAGCAATCCATTAGAGGCGTTCTACTGAGATTCTCGATCTGGTCCATACTGACCTCTGTGGTCCATTTGAGCATGTGACACCAGGGGGCAAGCACTATTTTATGACTGTAATAGACGATAATAGTCGGTATGCGATGGTTTTCCTTCTGGAGAAAAAGTCTGAAGCTGAACCTAAAATCAGGGAATATGTGAGAATGATGGAGACGCAGTTCGGGAAGAAACCTCGGGTAATTCGTTCCGATAATGGTGGCGAATATGTTAATATGGAGTTGGTAAATTGTCTCAAGTCGGAGGGGATTTGTTCGGAGTATACTGCTCCGTACTCACCCCAACAGAACGGAGTAGCTGAGCGACGAAACCGTTACCTCCAGGAAATGGCGCTCTGTATGTTGCTCGATGCCAAGCTCCCGAAGCAGTATTGAGGGGAAGCTATTATGACTGCAGTGTTTTTGCAGAATCTCTTGCCTTCTCGTTCAGTCGACTGCACACCATTCGAACGTTGGTTCAAACGTAAGCCGAACATAAAGGATTCGAAGATCTTTGGCTGCGAGGCGTATGTACAGGCTCCCAGTGTCAAATGGGGAAAGATGGCGGACAAATCGAGAAAGCTGTTATTCGTTTGGTACTGCAGCGAGAGTAAAGTGTATCGTTTTTTGGATACGATCACAAATAAGATTACTGTTAGTCGTGACGTCGTGTTTCTAGAACTGAAAAGCAAGTATGAAGCGGAGCAAGTCGTTGAGGAAGTTGGCGAAGTTTCTGTAGTGTACCGGTTCGCTCTTTATAGCAAAGCTCAGAGCTATGAGTAAAAGAGAACATTCTCATTCTCTATAGACATGTATACCCTCATATCTGAAATAAAGAGAGTGTTACTTCTGATGCTACCTAAACCAGACGTGTTTTTAATATAAGAAAGAGTCTCTACAATAGACATAATAGTTTCGACGGACAATTTGATGGAAGTCGAATTCGGAAAGAAAATGGAACCTGAAGAAGTTCAAAGCAACGACGATAGCGAAGAGGAGTTCTACCATAGAGGTAACTCTAAGACCAGAAGGTCCCGAAGATACGTGCTCAACTTTTTGGCTCAGCTCTGGTACTATCTTCGGTACCAAGCTAATTGATGCACCCCTCGAAACATAAAAAAAATCCATGAACCCCTCATTTTATCTGTCAAACTTTCATAGAAAATCAAAACAAACATAGTGTAGTACTAAAATTTCGACTAGAATGGGATACGTTAATCGTTTGCTTGGCACCAATAGGCTAGTCAAGTAGTGAGCCAATTTAAAATGGTTAGTTTCGAATTGATTGGTTCTACGGATTTGATAGCAGTTTTGACTTCGAGGAGAATCAAGAAGCTAACGGACCGCGTAGGTCGTCGAGAATCAATAAAGGTGTCATACCTTTGCGATTTCATGATTACGCAGTCGGACTAATTGCGCATTCGAATGAACCAGCAACGTAGGTATCATGAAGCATTGGCGTGTGAAGAGAAGGATCAATGACAGGCGACCATGGAGGAGGAGGAGCTAAGAGCTCTTATGGACAACGAAACGTGGACGCTGGTGCAGATGCCGAAGAATCGAAAGCCCATAGGATGTCGATGGGTGTTTCGAAAGAAGAACGATGGAAGCTTCAAAGCACGATTGGTCGCGCAGGGATTTGTTACGATGCAGACTACGTTCCGGGAGATACTCACGGTAGCAAGCAACAAGTGGATGCTCGTACAACATTTAGACGTTAAAACTGCATACCTCTACGGCCGACTAGATGAGGAAAGGAGGAGCTGATTTGTAAGCTGAACCGTAGTCTCTATGGGCTGAAGCAGGCTGCGAGAATTTGGAACTATACGATCAAGCAAATACTACTCAACGCTGGTTTCAAGCAGTCCAAAGCCGACGTGTGCCTGTTTATGAAGGAGTTTTCGACTGGTCAGTGGATCTACCTGCTGATTTATGTAGACGATATGGTCGTTGTGAGCTGAAGGTTGAGGAAAACTGAAAAAAAAACACTGTGCTTGGCAATATTAGTAGCTTCCTCGGAATCAACGTGGTTCGGCGTGAAGATGGGGTGTTCCTGATTAATCAAGAACTGTTCATCCGGAAAATTGAGCAACAACACAATCTCTGCGAAGCGAAGAAATCAAAGATACCTTTGGACTCCGTATACTACAAGAATAAGGCAAATTCCGAGGTTTTGCTGGACAATGAGGAGTACCAGTCGCTTGTTGGTGCTCTTCTGTACATTTTGACAAATACAAGGCCCGACATTACAGCAAGTGTTTATATCCTGAGTCGAAAAATAAAGAATCCGACGAAGGTTGACTGGACGGAATTGAAGCATATTGTACGCTACTTGTCTGGGACAGCGAATTACAGTCTTATGCTGGGGTCGACCAACGGACTGGTATTGGAAGGATACAGCGACACTGATTGGGCGAGTGATACAAGCGACCGTAAGTCAAATAGCGGATTCGTTTTCAAGCTTGGAAATGGCGTAATCAGCTGGGCGAGCCGCAAGCAGTCTTGTGTCTCGACTTCGACCATGGAGGGCCTACGAGAGCTTATTGATGATGGCGAGGATTAAGGTTGAAAACTACAGGCAGTTGGCAATGTAGCGTTTGAGAATTCGTTGAAATCCGATGGGGCTGGACTTTTTCGTGCGTGTGAATGCGATTTAATTTCTTTTGCGTAATGTAATCAACCTCAACTGTGGAGGAGAAATGGATTGATGATCCTTGGAAATGAGTGGCCGTATTGTGGCTACTGTCGTGTGATATGAAAATTTAAACGTATCCACCAGGATTAATTTTGATTAAATAAATTACAATTTCAAAAACTGGAAAAGTCGGTCTGGATCAGGCAGAATGCTCCGATGAATTCATGCGGGAGTGTCACAGAATTCCATCTGTTCTGTGGTCGTGCTTCTTGAACTTGTTAATGGTAGTGTTCCGTTTATGCTATGTTGCCTTTTAGAGCTGAATTTTGCACATCTTGATGAATTGAACTAGCTGTTTTAGTTCGCTTTCCGCATTTTCCTCAAGTATCTTCGATAACGAATCAGATGTACAGCAAACACCAGCGAGGAGTCGCTGGTGGATCCACCGAATCCTTCTCTCTTTCTTTATGATTTTAGTGACTTTTCGTCGGAAATAGGGACTTTTTAGTGACAAACTTCAAGTGCCAGTCACTAAAAAGTAAACTGCTATACGGTTTACGTAGTTTATGAACAGCCCTAAGGGTTATTCGGATCTTTGAGAGGATGTTTAGTGAACCGAAATTGCAAACTTCCCAGAGAATTCGTTCAAATATTATATTGGAGACCTTCAAATTTCGAAATCGTCCAAACATCCCATGAAAGTTTATTAACTATCTTCTAGTCGTGGAAAAAGATGCACCAGCCGGCTAATAATCTCTCTCTAAATCACTTAGGGTAAGTACTGGTAACCAATTCGATACCTATTCGACACACCTGGCCTTTGGGTCTACGAAGGTCTACGCTACGCAAACAGTACTTATTACACCAGCAAAAAAAAAACTTCGTACCTCCTTACAACCTATAACTCATACGCATATCAAACCATGCCTAATAATGCAAGACGAATCAAAACAATCGGCTTCTTACGAACGAAGATTCCCGGTGGTATGCGTGTTTCATATTTCTTAACTCGTCTCTCCTTCATCATCCATCCAGCACAGGCAGAAAGACAGCAAAAACATACATCAGCGAGTGTTTGTTATCTGAACAAACAAATCTCTTATAGCAAACTAGCGACAACCAACGAGACGTCGTCGAGGATTGTTGTTTGGATACGCTTCTTACATTGATGTTAAAGTATATGAAGGCAAAATGTAAGCCTCTAAATCGCTCGTAGATATGTGCGCTGCGCAATGGGATGGACACGAGAACACTCTTCGGCACATATATGTGTCAAATTATCGTTCAATATATCAAGCGCTACGTGGGGCGAATGCTAATGATTCTAAATTCTAATTCAACTTGCAGCTAATGAAAATGTCCACTCCCTTCGACCGACTACGTGCTGTGGATGGTTGGTGTGCAATTCCTGGAAGTAGACCTCATCTTCTAAACACTTACTTCGGCATGTTGTCCCGGATTGAGTCGCTTGCCGCATTCTTCGCACCTGAGGCACTCCGGGTGCCAATCGTAACCGAGAGATTGCTTTCGCTCAGCTGAAATATACGGAAAAAAAACGAAACAAATTTTAATTGAACATCGATCCGGAAACGGTGCAGATCAAAATATAAATTGATTGACTCAGCGAAAATGCCCTGATGGAGGAAAAAAAAATCAGAACGAACAAAACATCTATCCGCACGAAGCGAAGCTACAATTTATTCTTCCATAAATAGCCACATGCATGGCGATCACGGCGACCTACCGAAAAACACTGGTTTTCCACACTTGTGGCACTTCCACATTGCTTCCGTCCGGCAGTTTTCACAGCTAAATTGCACAACTCAAAGCTATTTTCCTGCAACCCGAAAGGTCAATCCTCCTTGTCACTTTTTCTACTCCTCCTCCTCCTCCGGATTGGATTGTGCAAAGAATTCGAAAAACTCACAATAACAAAAAGGCACCAACCGCACACAGCAGGCAAAAAATAAAGGAAAATAAACTTGTCCGTCGAGACGGACCGCCCGAACGAGAGCTGATACTGGTGATACTGCTTCTGCTACTCCTGATGGTGCAGAATGTCATAGCCGGAGAGGCCACTGGATGCCGGATGGCCACAATTGTACACCAGCTGCACCGCAGAACCGGTAAAGGGCAGGAAAAACAGTGGAAAATCAAAAATTGTACGGAAAACAACCGAGGAAAAATGGAAGCACTCGCGAGAAACTTCTGCGATGAATGAATTGAATATGGCAAACGCGTACACCACGAACGCACGAACCGAAAACCAGACGAATGCGAGTCGCTGGACTCTAATGCGGGCACGAAGTTTGACAGTTCATATTTGGCAGATTGAATGCGAGTGCGCGCAGGGGTGGTAGGAACCTTCGAGATTCGAGAGTAATCTTCAAAAACGGCTCAAAAAACATTGCATTCCTGATAGGGCCGGCGCAGCCGGCCCGAATCGAAACTCGTCGAACTGATCGTTTTTATGTCACATTACTCTTTACACATGAGCTTGATTAGTGTTAGTGAAAGCTTATTTCCAAAGCAAATGACAGCTCATGTGTCGTGTTGAATGTTGTTTTTGTTGTTTTCAAAACATAAAGCAACAACTAGCCCGGGAGCTAGCTCAACTAAAGTTCAGCTAGCCAACTCAGGCAACAATCGTCATAATTCCGCAAGTTAAACGACAACAGTCTCCACAAACCAGCGCATCCGGCAGTGCCAGCTCAGAATCTTTCCGTGCCAAATAACAGTATCCTGCAGCAGATGAGCAACTTTCTGGTCGCAGTCCCGAAAGAACTTCCACACCGAAGTCTTCACCGAACATTGATGAAAACAAATCCAGGGCTGTTACAACAGGCGCGGATATCGCGGATTTGAAGTTTCAGTCGTGAAAATCGCGGAAAGAATTAATGATGTCGCGAAAATTGCGATTAGAATGATGTACTGTCACACAAATTGTGGAATTCATTGTAACCTTTCAGTCCCGGAATATTTAGCTGTCATCAATTTTGTTGTTCATTTGGCTTTCAATTTTTTACCGGTTCAAACTAAACACCCTGCAAATAATCTAGACATGATCTTAATTCCATAAGTCACGCCGGATTTACACGGAAATTCCCTGGGGGTCCTTCCAATGCGAGACATTTTCATATTTTTTTTTTATTTCCAATATGAACATAGCATTTTTCGTTGTCAAATCATAAACGAATCGTATATATGCGAGTAATTGCCATGTATACCGGACATTATAGGTTCTTCAAATCGTCCTGGAGTTGAGTTATTGATTTGTTCTACTATATCAACCAAGACTGCAATAATCGACTGTAGTATCGAAATATGTCCAAACAGATTGAAAGTGTCTATTTGGATCGTGCCCGACCTATTGCCATAGAGGTAACTCTAAGACCACTGGGTCCCGAAGAAAATCATTATTATTTTTGGCTCACTCAGTACCAGAACAACGGTCCCAAGCAGTCCCAAGCTATTTCACTCACCCCTGCATGTTCTGCATGAATCCACACACCCCTGATGTTATCTGTCAAACTTTCATAGCGAATCAAAACAAACATAGTGTAGTAACAGAATTTCAACTAGAATAGGGTACGTTAATCGTTTGCTTGGGACCAATAGGCTACTAAAGTGGTGAGCCAATTTAAAATCGTTAGTTTCGTATTGATTGTTGCTATTGCTACGTATACAAGATGTTATGGGTTCTGAAATCATTCTGGAGATCAGATTATGTTTCTACTAGATCACCCAAGACTAATTCATTATTTGTAGTATCGAAATATGTCCAAACAAATTTGCAGTGTCCTGTTGCATTGTTGCATTCAATTCGGTTGAAGCTCTGTGATGAATTTTTCCCACTAGGGTTCTCTGTTTCTTGTTGAATTCTCATCATAATTCTCTTGGAATTCTTCTTAAAATCCATCTGTTATTTTCCTCACGATTCCCATTCACATTTCCTCAGAATCACGTAGGAATTTCCCTTAAAGTTTTTTTTTTCAAAACTCCTTTTAAAATTTTCTAAAATTACTTAAGAGTTTAATTTGGAACTTGCATTCTTCTGCATAGAAATCCCTCTAAATTCATCTAAGGACTTCATGTCATATCAATTCTGGAATTCTGTTGAGAATTTTTCCCTTGGAAAATTATAAGGGAACCCTCCTCAATATTTATTTAAAATCATCACTTTGAATACTTTTAATTTTTACTTAAAATTCCAGGGTTTGTCCGCAATATTTTATAGATTGTTCTGTAATTTTTTATAACCCTTCAAATGCTTTCAAGTCTCGGAACATTGACGATTATAACTCCACGACCCATAAGTATGATTTTGACGTAGGATTACGTATTTCGGAACCATATTGCGGGTGCAATTACAAAAAATCGATCGCATTACGAAAAGAGGTCAGGTTTTGACCACATAATATGCAGATAGATTTTAATTCTAAACAAGCCAAACAATTAGAAATTTATCTACCAATCTGCTAAAATGAACACTTTATTAATTTTCAATGGGTTACTATTGAAAATTACACAAATGTCCAACTTCTGCAATGGTGATCAAAATTATCACCGAATGTCTGAAAACAGTGCATTCCCTAACACAGACTTAAAAATCGAATTCAATGCGGTCTCACTGAACGGTGTACATTCAATCACCGTAAGTGGTGGTGACCAGTCATCGGTATCAGCAGGAGCAGCAGCAGCAGCAGCAAACAGCAGCAGGAGTGCTTCGGCAAACATTGTTCTCCACAGTAACAACGGAAGGCTGCCTGCAAGCAGCGAGCTGCAGTGCTCGTATGAGCAACCATAGGAGGAAGAAGCTGCACCGCTATGCTGTGAATCGGAATCAGTAGCTCTTCGTGGGTCATCTATGCCAAGCGTGTCACCCTTGCTCTAAACAACTTACAGCTCGACAGCCTCATCCGTGTAGAACCCCCACCTCAGATTTTGTCAACCATCACTACAAAACGGTCCTTTTCAGGACCACCAAAAATTGTTGGAAGAGTATTACTAGGACATTTTTTAAGGTAATCAGTTCCCGCAAGCAGCTTGGTATCAAGGCCCTGGTCTATAGAAGGTATAGAATTGTAGGCACGAATGTATTGGTGAGATAAATCATCGTCCGGCCACGCTGGTGGAAGTGTTAAAATCAATATAGAATTTGAGAGAAGCTAAATAAATAAATCCAGGGACATTCATTTTTTTCCCCCGGAAATTGATTTCTCCCCATGTAAGTTCTACTTGCTTTATTACCAATCCCCAGAAAGCCACAATAAAATCAAATTTGTGGGAAAATAAGCTCACGAGTTTCGAAGTCCCTCCTTTTTTACATATTCTGCATAAACGATACTTTCCGCCCCGCCCCATTCATATAATTCGGAAGGAAATCATGTGAGGGGTGAGCTATTTTGAGTGCAGAATGTGTAAAGAAGGAGGGACTTCGGTTGTTAATCTAAATGCATATATAGAGGTAACAGCAGCGTTGCCAGTATTGCAAATTTATCTGGATTTTACAGATTTTCAGTCGCCTTGCCAGATACACGTTTATTTTCAGATTTTTTTAAATAGGGGAAATGGTTCTAATGTTGGCCAATGGATCTAAGATTGGGCCCATCGCTAAAAATCTGCTATTCATCAATTTTATCTAGATGAATGCGTCATTGGGACGGTACTGATGGATATTTTTGGTCGCTATTGAAAATTCAATCGATTGCTGAATTTATGTATGGGCCCAATTTAGGGGCATTTAGGCCGACATTACATCCATTTCCCCTATGTTCCAGATTTTTAAAATGTGTTGCTTTATAAATATCACTGAAATTAAGGGATCGTCCATTAATTATGTCACACTTTTAGGGGGGTTTTGGAAACTGTGACGAACCTTACAAAAACAATTAAGGTCCATAGAAAAAATGTGACAAAGGGGTGAGGGGGGGGGGGAGGGTTTAAAATGGACCCTCTAATCAAAAAATATAAAGCCAAACTTACTACTTTAATTACTAAAAGCCATCAACGTTTGGACATTATTGCAACATCATGCATGGAATTGTTACAGCATGTTTGTAATGGGTTGCAGAATCATAAAAATCGAGACATTATTGGCTGTAAAAAATCTTCAAATTTAAAAAAAATATCGAGCCAGCTTTTTTTTTATTATCTGGAGTTGTTTAGATTTTGGCTATAATTACATTTCTTGGAATCTTGGATTTATAAAAAACAATATTTCAATATGGAGGAATTTTCCTAATTTTTGGAATTTAGAGACATCGAAAACTGTTCAGGATTGAAAACAAAAAAATGAGTTTTGGAAAATTAGCAAGGCTTTTGAATCTTGACAACCACCAAGACTTTAAAGTATGTTCGTGATATTTTTGATGATAATTAATTAGATGTTTAAATAGAGTTTTGAAGTAATATTGAGTTACCTTAGCAGTCTGCAATACTTTGGAATTCTGAATTGCCCTAGATTTCAGAACTTTAAGGTAATTCTGAAAATAGTTTACAGTTAAGTGTAAGTATGCAGTCTGTGCAACCTTTGATTGAAGTGAAGACGGTATAAATTGTCTTTTGCAAACTCTTATGACAATTGCATGGAGATTTTGGCAAGAAAAGAAATAGTTAGAATCCGGAAGAGAAATCAAAATTCTTAAGATGAAACTTAAGGAGTATGCTGATACGAATCGTGAGAATAATTTCAATGGAATTATGTCCAATGTTTCTATGGAAGATTAGGTCTTATCAAGTTTTAAGAAATCTGGCAATTTCTGGGAGACTTTCAAAGCTATTTGGCAAAGTACTTGAGTACTTAGAAAATACTGAAGAGGATTAGTCTGAGAAGAATGTGACGGTCATTCTGAAGAGCATACCAAGGAAATTATTAAGAATATTCTAAGGGAATTTCATAGAGAAAAAATGAGACTAAATTATGCAAATTCTTGAAAATTATTACCAGTTTGAGGGAATAGTGGAATCAGAGAGCGATTTATAAGAGATTAAAAGAAATAATGCTAAGCACTCTTAGAATGTTATAAGGTTGGATGTTATCAAGATTAGTTTAGGGAAATCCGGAAAAGAAGTATGATGATTCAAATTGAACTCTGTAAATGAAGTAATTTCAGAGTAACAAAAAATTTCATGATCTGGGACCCAGGAAAAATATAAATTACCAGAATTTAGAATCATTTCATGATTCTGAGACTTCAAAAATGACGCTTTCAGACTTTCA